TCCCAGGTTCTGGGGGTAGGATGTGGGCATCTTGGGGGGCCGTTCTGAAGACCTACTCCGTGTTAGAGGTTGGTGGGCCAAAGAGGAACACTCTCCTCTCGTGGACCTATTCAGGGGGGGCCGCAGGGAGTCACGAGGCGGTGGCCATGAATTCCACCCAGGTGGGCGAGGTTCAGGGAGGCTGCTGTAGGCGCAGTCACCATCACTCTCTGCAGGAGGTGCCGTGCAGACAGGTGCAGGGACAAGAAATGGCGTGGCCTCTGGGGAAATAGGAAGGCATCTGGGTGCAGCTGGGTCTGGTCCATTCCAGGAAGGACAGGAGGAGTGAGGGGGCCAGAGCACACGGTGGGGCTTCTTCCTGAGGGCAAAGAGGTGTCTTGGTAGATGGTGGACGTGGCAAGAGAAAGATCTCGGGGTTGCAGGACTGAAGCAGGATTGGAGGAGCTGAGAGGCACAAAAACAGTGGTCCTGGCAACTGAGAGCAGGATGTTCCCAAAAGCAGGCAATGACTCGGGAGGCGGGAGGTGAGGGAGGGGTGGGTGGAGGATCCCGAGAGAGGGTTAAGTAAGTGCACCACCAAATTGGCAGGTCATCTCGTGCCCTCGCCACCCTCCGCCCCAGTTCCCGATGAGAAGGCCTCAGAACGCTACTTTTTAAGTATGTCATACCATAGAGGATTAAAAATAGTTTGAAAGAGGAGAGGAATATAAATATCGCAAAGGCTCCTGGCTGCATGGAGAGCCCCCCAGGAGAGGGAGGCAGGAGTGGGGTGTGATGTCACCAGAGTCCTATAGGTCCCTCCAATCAGACCCCCAGGTCTGCTGGAGCTGAAGGTCCTGCTGGTTGACACCAAAATGACCCTGGGGCTTCTGCAAATTCCCCAAATGGCCCTGGCTTTTCTTCGTCCTCAGGGGCTTTGGTCTAAAATCTCCAAGAAGCAGTGGATCACAGGGCTCAAGAAGGGCAAGAATAAAAGGTGAATGTCAATGGCACGGGCCCTCTGGCCCACCCCCCTGCACTGCCCCCTACTCCTACCGAGGGGCCCACACCTCACCCACCACGGCACACTCCCCTACTCCCTGGTTGCACACCGCCTGCCTCTGCGATCACATCACAGATTTTTCCCCACTCCCCCTGCCATCCTCCCACCCTTGAGGCTGGACTGGGCCTCCCCTGCCCCCATGCTCCTGCAGCACCCACCTTGAGCACCCTCAGTCCTAACACGCTTCTCTCAGCCTCACAATGCCGGTGACCTCTGTGTGCTGCGGTCTCCTGGAGTGACCCATTCATCCCTCTATCCCAGCTCCCAGCCTTTCGGGAGGACACAGTAACAGCTCCTTGACTGCACCAACCAGGCTTCAAGTGGGTACATCCATTTCTAAAGCAGGGCCAGAGCCCACCCAGGCATGCGTCAGCCCTCTGAAAACAAGGCTGGGCCGTGATACGTCCATACAACAAGCTTTCCCTGCTGTTGTCACCATAAGCATCTCCTACTTGTCATGTGCCCTGAGTCTGGGTTTAGAAAATGAGGTCCCTGCCACCCTTACAGGAGGCTCCCTGGATTCCCACATTCTGAACGGGCCAGGCAGTAACTATTTTTGGTTCTGTGGGTACTCCTCTGTCACTACAACTCAATTACCATTAAATTGCAAAAGCAGCCATGGGCATGTGCAAACGAATGGCCACGGCTGCGTTCCAATAAAACTTTATTCACAAGAACAGGCAGGGGGCCGGATGTGGCCTGTAGTCTGCCATCCCTACTCTGATAAAAAAAAAAAAAAATTAACAAGAGAAAAGGAGATAGACCAGTGAGGAAAATAAGCCCCCAAAGAGTCTTTAAAGCCACACTTACGATTTCTGAAGCTGCCTCTAATTCCGTCTGAGACTGACACAATCTACCGCTGTTAAAAAAAAAAAAAAAAGAGGTGCGGGGAAGGGGGCCGGGAATAAGGAAAGGTTTCTATGGGAACAGGGAGTTCACTTTTAATGGTTCAACCACCAGAGAGACAATTACTTTATTTTTCTCTCTGCCCCTCTGAAGCAGGGCAGGCGTGACCCACAGCTGGTCGGGCAGGAGGACTCTGCCCAGGGCCTCAGCTGTTTCAGTCCGAAATTCAATGCCAGAGTGTTCCACGGGTCAGGGGGGCAGTTAATGTAATCTGGGCCTCTTCGGCAAAGGGCTGCCTCCCAAGAGCCCTGGACCTGGTCAGAAGTTTCGCCTGCCCGCCTGACTGCATGGTGGCGGGCTGCTCCGATGGAGGCAAGGCCAACTGCCAGCCACGGCCGCTCACAAAGGATTCTGTGGCGAAACCTCTTCTGGGTCTGCTGCCAACTGGACCGAGGGCCTCCCTCCCGCTTCTGACAAACCGTTTAGGCGACGGTGCCTGGCCCGGAACACTCTTGTTCCTTGGTACCAGAACACTCTCGTTCCTTGGTACAAATGTACCACAACTGCACACCATTTGCCGACACGCACGTCTATAACAAAGCTGAGGAGCTAAAACCTTTTCTAGAGGGACCTTTAGTGGGAGTGAGCCTCCAGCCCCCGACAGTGAAAAGGATCCAGGAAGGCAGCCAGCGCTGCTCCATTTGAGCCCCTGACAGTCCAACCCTCTCATTTTGCAGATGAGGAAACTGAGGCACAGCCAGGGGAAGAGATTTCCCAGCATGCCACAGCGAGTCAGCAACAAAGCCAGGACCCAGACGCAGGCCTTCAGCTGCCCAGTCCTGGCTGTGGCTTCCCCAGCTGCACAGTATGCTCCACCTGGAGGGGCCCCTCAAGAAGAACCCACACCCCGAGTTAGGAACGGAGCTCGGGCTGGAACACAGCCTTTTGAGGGCAAAATCTAGAATTAACTCACAGCCTGTGGCTTGACTCCAGCTGGGGGCCTGTGGGAATGTTCTCCATGCTGATTCACGCTTTAGAACCAAGCACACAGCCCCAGGCCAGGGCACTAACAAGCAGAAAGTTTCTGGAGGACGTGAAACCTCTGCATTCAGCTTTTTTGTTTTTTATAGAGAAACCTCCTGTGCAGTTGCCATGCCCTCCAAGAGCCGGGGGAGGCGGAAGCAGGAAAGATTCCTCCTCGGCTCCTTCTCTTCTCTGGGCGGTGATTAACTTTGACCACAGCAATGTCCCTGGTCCCACTGCTGTACCCACAGGGGGTCCAGCGGGATGGGGATGAGAACCAGGGGCAGGGAAGGTGGGGAGTTGCTGCAGAAGAGGCGGGTGTGGCATCCCAAACCAGAGCACAGGGGGCCTCGCACGCCAGGCTAAGGGGCTTGGACTTGATCTTCTAAGCGGTGCAGCCCCACCTTGTTCACATCACAGCATCCCTGGACAACGATGCTGTTCACCCTGGGGTGGACCAAGGAGCGGCCCTAAGCCCACAGGCTGGCCACAGAGATGCAATGAAGGGATTAGCAGGGATGTGCTTTGGGTGGCTGGGTGGCGGGTAGATGGGAGGAGGTGACACAAGGCCCAGAGCCATAAAGAGGTCACTTCGGGCAAGCATGAGGAGAGCCTGGCCTGGGCCTGAGCCAGTGGAATGAAAGGAGGACACGGACAACACGACAAGGGCCGATCTTCCTAACCTCACAGGCACTGACCTGCCCCTGAGCTTGCCTTCAGGTTACCCCAAGCTGTATGCTGTGCAATGTAGAGTGCACGGTCAAGCATCTGCTCAGCACGCAAGGTCCTAATCCACCAGCGCCTCCCCTGACAGGCCTTCCCAGCTCCCAGCCATGAAGCCACCAGCTCCTTGATGTGTGACCATCACACCTGACTCATAGAGCGAGTGCAAGAGGATGCGTGGGCTTAGTCTGACCTGGGTTCAAATCTCAGCTCCACCTGCAAGTATCAAGTCCTTGAGCGACCTTGAGGAGTCATTTCACTGTCACTTCTGAAAGGAGCCCTACCTCAAAGGCTTGTGAAAACACTAACGGAAGCAGTTGGTGCCATGCCTCGCATGCAGGCTACTCTCAGTCAGGTTAACTGTCACCACCTCTGTTTGGCATTCAATCCAATTGCCCCAGATCGCAGCTCCTGTTGCTAGGCCTGGGCGGTACTCTTCCCAACAAATTCGCACCGAGGGAGGCACTGAAGAGGGGCTGGGGATGCGGCTCAGGGAGCAGAGGCCAGCTGGCAGCGGTGGACACCCCGCCCGGCTCCCCCAGAGCAGCAGTGGGAAGTCTTACGTCTGCCCAGCCCCCCCGACGCCGTCCACCTCCAACTCTGAGTGCTGCGCCCTAGCCAAGCCGCTCCAGAACAATGAGGTCAGGGATCCCAGCACCAGACCCGCCGGGCACCAGAGCAATAGGAGACAGCCCCGAACCGAACTGAGGTCTGCGCTGCTAGAAGCAGAAAATTCGAGCCCAGTCTGGCTGGGTGCCCACGATGGCTTCACACTCCTTAGAGGCAGGGACGAGAACCAGCTTTGCAGTCCCTGGTGTCTGCACGATGCTATGGGCCTGGCACACGTTTGCTACAACTGACAGAGAGGGGCTGTGAATTTTGGGGTTGATGGAGGCTTCCTACAAGAATGGGACTGTCTTCAAAATCCTGGCCCAACAGTCCCCTTTGACCCATAGTCAACTGGCCCCAGAACACAGGGCACTCAGCTGGACCCCGAGGCCAAGTCAAGGAGAAAGAGGCGGCAGCCAAAGTGGCCTTGTCATCGGACAGGAGCCAGAGCGTTGCTGCCCACAGCCTGGCAGAGAACGAAGGTACAGACCTGTTACCCAACTGCCTCTAACCTCACTTCTACCCAACGCGTCTCCGAGGAAGTGGGGGCCACCAGGCAAAGGCTGCCAACATCCTGCAATTCCGTTTCTCCTCTCTGAAAAGGTCAACAGCTTGGGCCACCCCCGTTTCCGCGCAAGGGACACTGTGAAGGGGCACAGTCAGTCTCTGACCAGAGGGACATCCACGCTCTGCCGGAGAGTCCTGCATTTACAAACATCTTGAGCCATCGAAGCGCACATATCAACGAGGACCTCACCTGCCCACAGGTCAGGTACAGCAAGGTGTGTGACAGGCCTCCTGGGAGGGGTCACGCTTTCTGCCCAGACAGGCCAGGAAGTCTTCATTCCAACGTTCCGTGGGGGATGGCCTGGTGACACCACAGTCATAGCTGCAAGGATTCCAGAATTCCACAGTCGGGGCCGTAGACAAAGGCTTCAGATGAGCAAGTGAGCGGAGGCCAACATTTCTCCAAGTTAATTTAAACAGAGAGATATACAGAAAGAAGTAAAGATAGAAATGTATTACTGGACCATCCTTCCCTGACATGCAGCGTCCTCGGGACCGACCCTGGAAGCCCCCGGTCCCAGGACCACGAGAGTCAAAGCTTTCTGAAAAGAACCAGGACGGCTGACCAAGACGCAGCTGCCGCCCACAGCTGGAAGCCGGGAACCCTCCTCAGTCCCTACGATGATTACAGATTCCTGAAATCCCACTGCACCTATCACCACGACAAGTGTGACTGCCTGTGCTCTACAGAAACACACGGCCTAAAACACAGCCCTTCTGCCTGGACTCCTTCTGCCCCCTGAGTGTCACCCACACCGTGTTCAGAAGAACGTGGGCCCCGCCGGCAGCCCACTATCTGGTCATCCAGACACGTCCAGGGCTGGACACCCACCAGCTGGTTTGGGCAGATGCTCTAAGCACAGCAAGGGGTGCCCTCTGGACTTGGCCCCTTGGTTGGGACTTCCTGAGTACCACAGAGACAAGAGGAGAAAACGTCTGTTAAGCATCCAGTCAAGACACAGGGATGCCCGAGAAAAATGAAGAAACAAGACAGATTTCCGCAGCCTCTTCTCAGCGACGCGGGGCAGAGCAGCAACCCCACAGGGCTGGTGTCCCCCCGGACTAAGAGCTCCATTTGTTCACAATAGCCCCAAACTGCAAACAACCCAAATGTCCCTCACCGATGGTCAGACCAACAAACTGCGATACATCCACACGATGGAACAGTCCTCAGCCATCACAAGGAATGATGCAGTGCCTGGGTCCAGGGCTGAGAGCTGACACGGATGCACACGCTGGGCCCTAGGGATCTCTTCCAGGCAATGACGATGTTCCCCAAACTGGATTGTCGCGATGTGGGCACAGCTCTGTAGATTTACTAAAAATTATTGAATTGTAAACTTATAACAGGTGGATTTTATGATATGTAAATTATACCTCAATAAAGTCGTTTTAATGAAGACTAAAAAAACAGGAACTACTGATACAGGTAAGAACATGGATGAATCGCCCCAACATAATACAGAGGAAAAAACGCCAGTTAGAAAGAATACATACCGTACAATTCAATGTTATATGAAATTTTAGAGGCAAAACTATAGTAATAAGGATCAGAATAGTAGTTATCTCAGGGGGCTGTGACTGACTGGGAACGGAGACAAGGCACCCATCCAGGGTACTAGAAACCTTCTCACCTTGATCTCGGTGGGGTTCTATGGGGGTATCCACAAGTAAAAACTTGTTAGGCTTGCACTTAAAATTACGCACATTTTATACACATATATACAATCATATATATAAATATAATGTTTATAAATACATAAACTTTTTAATATTTATAAACTTATAAATTTATATATATAAATATAAAGTCATACACAAATTTAAAAGTTTATTTTTTTAAACAGCAAAGCCCACTGATGGTCAAATTGTAACTGGCATTGCCTAAAAGTAAGGACAGTTCACTGGGAGCTGAGAGAGAGGAATCCACTCAATGAATTCCTACCCAACCTTCAGAACCCCATCTCAAATTGTCCCCATTTGGTGAGGCCTTCTCTCACAGTTCTGGGTGTAACTAACTGCCCACATTGCTGAGCCCTCCTTCACCAAAGTCAGTCCCCCTTGGGAGCTCATCCTAGAGGAATGTAGAAAATTGGTGCACCAAGCATCGGTTACCATGTGTTTATTAAACACCCACTGGTTGTCTAAGACATGCACACACACACACTGTGACAGCCCAAACCAGACGCCATCTCAGCAAAAGAGACCCCCACTCCCAAATAGGATGTCAGTTCTCCAGCAACAGGATCCAGGCGCGAGGCTTATTAACAAAAGGGATCATTTTCAACATATCCAGCTCAATCCTCTTCTTTTTTACACAAATTACAGCCAGAAGAGATGAGGGAGGCCCGAGCAAACTCAGTTTCCAGTGTCCACTGCACTCAGCTACCCCTCCCCCCATTTCAGGTCACCTCCACCTAGCTGTCCCTGCCCAGCCTGGGGGTGGAGCAGACCCACGTGGGCTCCCAGGAAACATTCTATCTGGTGTAATGTTTAAACTTGATTCCTCGGCCACCCCACCCCCCAAGACTGCCCCCTGCTGGCTGGGGCTCCCTGCTCTCCAGCAGTAAAGGCACCACTCCTGCTGAGGGGACACCCACAGCCCCGCCACCCTCCGTCCAGGCGTCCCAGCTCTCTCGGGGCCACCCCCAACCTTGGAATCTCCAGAAACACCAGGCTGCAGGGGAAGCTACTCAAGAAACTTGCCCTGCCAGGGTCCCTGCAGCAGGGGGGCCGGAAGTGGAACTCCGTCCAGACCTGCAAAGCCCACGAATGCAAACAGAGAGGCTGGAAACACACCTCCAGGAACACCAGCTTTGGGTGGGTGGGAGCGTTGGGGGCGACTGTGCGTGACTTTTTCTCTCTCAATATTTTTGCGCTTTCTAAGTTTCCACGATGAAGAAACTCTTTGGAAAGACGAATACGCTTCATCTGTGGCGGGAGTCACCCCAGCCCTTGTCAGACGCACCGCCCACCCGTTTCTCTCACCTCGTCTCCCGCCGGGTCCTGCGCCCCAGCGGGCGGGCCTCTCGCCCACTCCCCAGTCGAGCCTCCGGCCAGGGGAGGGCAGCCCCCCGAGGAAAGGGGTCGCCTGGGCTGGGTGCCCGCCTCACCCCACAGATCTGCGCCCCCAGCCCCCTTCTCCCCAGCCCAGCCTCTGAGGCAGTGCCCCCCCCCATTCAATTCCCCTACCCTCAGAGGTACTTAGGAAGTGTGCGAACTCACACACACACACAGAGTCGCACTTTCTCCTCCCCTCCCCGACCTGGGCCACCGCCCCCAAGAGTCCACGTACAAACTTCTCCAAACTCGCAGCTGTGGCTGGAGGGGGAGTCGTGACGTCCCCACAAGGAACATAGGACTCCCCCCCCGCCCCAAACACACACACACATGTGTGCCGCCCCACCCCCTGGGCAATCTGGCCCGGGCGGCAATGCTGGGGTTTGGGGGCGGGTGTCTCCCCCTCTCCCCCCAGCATAAGTGACAAGAGCGGGGGCAGGACGGGGCAGGGCGGTGCGAGTCGGAGTCGCCCGGCGTGGGAGCGGCTCCGGGGCTCCCGGGGCGACCCCGATCGAGCCGGCGCGCCTCCCGGGGAGGCTGAGGCACGTTACCTTGCAGGTTCTGGACTCGGATGTCGCTGATCTGTCCGATGAGCTCCTCGCGTTGGAACCAGTCCCATTCGTGCGCAGCCATGAAGCGGGCGGGAGGCCCGGGGCGCCGGGGCCGGGCGCGGAGAGCGGCGGGCGGGCGGGCGAGCGGCACGCACCCGGCGAGGGCGCCGCGGAGCCGGAGGAGCGGCGGCGGGCGGGGCGCGGGCGGCGGGCGCGCGGGAGGCCGCCCCCGCGCGGGCGGGCAGCGGGCGGGCGCGGGGCGGGGGGTGCGGGGCGCCCGGCTCGAGCTCACTCCCCCATCCGGGGGCGGGGCCCCGGGGGCGAGGGGCGGGGCGGGGCGGGGCGGGGACGGGAGGCTGGGCTCAGGCCGCTTGCTTTTTTTTTACCAGGGTGTTGTTGGTTGGATTGTTTGGTTGCAAACGCGCGGTGATGCGGCGCGGGGTCCCGGCCCCCAGATTGTGATGTCTCCGGGGGCGGTGGGCCAGGTGACGCAAGCGAGGGGTGAGCCCGCGGGTCCCAGTACCTGGGCCAGCAGGGCCCGCCCCCTCCCACCCCTACGCCCAGCGTCCTCCCCCCACCCCCTGTCCCGGGTATGAACTCCCCCACACACACCCTTCTACTGCGGGTCCCCTGCCCCCGCGCAATTCGCAATTCGGAGAGGCAGCCCCCCGCGGAGAGGAGGGCCCCAAATCATGCCATCCGCCCCTGAGGGCGCCTCGGGGAGCTCCAAGGGCCTGGGAATGGGGCCAATGAGTATGGAGATAGAGTTAGGGGGAGCTACCCGCTCGTGCGTCTCCAAATTGGGGGGCCGTGGTGAGAAGGACCTCTTTCCTGGGTTTGAATATTGGGAACCTTCTCCTCGAAGATGAAGTCCAGAGATGAGATGACCTCAGGTTCTGGGGAGGAGGGAGAACCAGCCGACTCCCCGAGAGCTGGGGTACCCCCTCGGGTCCCGGGCCGCTGAATCTCCAAGTGTACCTCTCTGGGGCTTTACAGAAAATGAGTGTAGGCCTTTCCGGGACGGTGTGTCCGTGTGTGTTTCTTCACTGTTTGTTTAAACTCTTGGGAGTTCCAGGATCTTATCTTGTTTGGGGCTCACAATTTGTACCTCAGGCAGAGACTTTATTGGTTTTACAAACACGGAAAAAGAGAGGCTCTGGAGTCCTGGAATTTGCCCGTACCTGAGGAATCAGTTAGGGACTAGAGGTCCCAGCCCCCAGCTCGGTACTCTATCCTTTTCCATAGCTCGTGCGCACACGCGCGCGCGCGCGCACACACACACACACACATAAATGGGATATTCCAGGAGAAGAAAATGGGCAGGGCTTGCTGAGCACTGAAACGTGGGCTGTGTTCATCACTGCCATGTTCAACTACTGAAATACTACAAGCTGGATGGGCTCCTCCCTAATTGACAGGTAGCTATGAGCCCTGAGCAGACCTGTGCCCTTGAGGCAGGGCCCTGAGGTGAGTGAGTCTACCTTCAGGTAGATTGGGGGGGGGGGGGGCAACAAACAAGGAAACAAGATAATTATACATGGAAGTGAGTTCCAGAAAGGAGAAAATCAACTCTAGGTAAGTAACTGGGGAGGTCTCTGAAGATGGACCATGGCGCTGAGCCTGAAGGATGAAGGAAGCCAGAGCTGGGACGGCAGCCTGGGTAGGGGGTCAGTGGAGACAGGAGCTGGGTGGCTTCCTGTGAGCTGCCCTCTTCTAGGTACCAGGGGCACAGCCAGGGACAGGACATCACAGCCCAAGGGAGCTGACACTCCAGTGGGGAAGTTTATCCCAAGGATGAACAGGACTAGAATGTCAAGGTGGGCAGCTCTAAATTGCTTTTTCTTCCTCCTTGTTCTCCATTTGCCAAGTTTCCCGCCATAAGCACAGTTTTCCAGTCAGGCAGAAAGCCAATAAGTTCTTTCTTAACCTCTTGAGATCCTTTCCTGGAGTCCCCAGCCTGCCCCAGCTCTCCTCATCTGCCAGGCTGGAAGCCCGATGGAGGCCCCAGGGTACCGATGGGGCGCGTGGGTGCCTGGGCGTGTGCCCTGGTGCTTGAGGCGGGAGCTGCCTTCTGCCTGATTCGATCTGAAGGCAGGTGGTCATTTCACACCCCAGGGAGCAGGGTCTGCTTCTGTCTCCTGCAGGGCACGGTGCTTAGGAGCCAAGCGTCACCTAATTTTGCCCCATCTGCTAGCCATCTCCTGTTTTCACACTTCAATTTATTTTCCGTAATTGCTGTGGGGCGACGTTGGGCTGAAAATCATTTTCTTTCCAAAACAAAGAGCCAAGAGAATCAGACTTCCTCTTCCTCAGGAGGGGGGCCTCAGAGGACAGAGGGCTCTAAGCAATGCCATGTGAGAGTAGCTGCAGGGATGGGCCATTTCTCACAATACAACTGTTTGTGAAACAGCTGTTCGTATGACAACAGTCATACACAATGATTGGTCCTGTGGGTGGAATGTTGCATCTTTGGGGAACATTGCACAGGAAGTAACAACTCCCTGGCAGGGAGAGACCATGATCACCATTGATTGAGCACCAACTGTATACCAGATGTTGGATCCCCAGCCTAAAGAACTTTTTTTCTTTGCATCAAAGCAGAAAGATAATTTTAGGTGGTTTTTCAAATGGAATAGGAGCCTGAGTCAGCTGTGAGCATGAGGCTGGCCTCCAAAAGGTACTTGAACATTCATTAAATTAATGTGTCAACATCATGCCTCTTCCCTTCGCTTCTCTTGGCTCTGGCCCTCCCTGACTGGTCCCTGTGCCACCTCCTTGCCCATCAATCCTGGTTTTACACTTTTTGATCCAGTGATGCTGTACTGCTACAGGTCCTGGCTTCACCCCGTCACCTCCAGGCCTCTGCTCATTCTGTTCCCTTTGAAATGCCCTTCCCTCCCCTGCTCCCTGCCCTTCACCTTAACCCAGCTTACACCTGCCCAATCATGTCCATCATAAGAGAACCTTCTCTGAGAGCTGTAGGCCCAGCTGAGAGCCTGTCTCATACAATTCCCATGATATTCAGTACAATCTCATAATGTCCCATGAACCCGGTATCTTGTTTCCACGTTGCATTATCATTATGTTTACTTGATGATTTCCCCCCATAAACTGTGAACTACTTGAGAATGAGGGCTGTGTCTCGTTAATTTCTCTCTCTGAGCACTTAGCACAGAGCCTGGCTCGGGGAAATCTCCCAATGTTGAGTGAATGGATGAATGAATGACTCATTATAGGTCTGAACTCAGAAAACAGGGACTAAATGACAGTTGACCCCCGTGTCCTGGGCCCGAGTAAACTTCTGGGGAGGTGATCAAAAAGTGTTCGCGTGTTGGCAGTGGGCAAGGACGTGCTGCCGGGTACACGCTAGGTGCTAGGCAAGGGCCACGCTGTGAGATGTCCCTCTCTGGGGCGTGTGCAGCCCCCCGGGTCTGGAGTTCCGGCTGGGAGAGGGGGCGTGCGACTTCCAAGGGGAATTGGGTTATTGCCCTCTTGCATGAATTCACAATACTAGTTTTCTTTCACACTTTTATTTTTGGGAAGGAAAAGTACTTTGCCTGAAGGCTTGGCTTCCCGGGAGTTTCCAGAAACTGATTTTCTAGAAGTTGCCCAATTCTGCTAGAATCCTTGTCATTGTTTAAAACTGACTTCTGCCAAGGGAAAGGAAGAGAATCTCAGAGAATCCCTGGTCTGAACCTCAGAGATCGTGGACTCTAACATTCCTCCCCTGTAAGGACTTCTAACACATCTGGCCCAGTGATCTTCCTGCCTCCGCTCATGGGGACCGATGACTTCAGGCAGAGAATCTGGACAGAAGGTTTGCATCTCCGCATCCCAGACCCCCTTCGAGAAAGAATAGGAACAGCAAACATGACCCCAGAGTACCCTCCCAGCCACTTCCAGGAGAGGAGTGTGGTGGGGGCTTCCTACAACAGGCAGCTGCTTTCTCTGCTCCCCACCGTCACCTCTTATGTGTCACAGCTCTAAAGGGGGTTAAATAACCCCTCCCCCAGCCAGTGCTCATCTGGTCTTCACGGTGACCTCGTTAGGCCAACGAGGCAGGGATCATTTTCAGATGGGGCTTAAAGCTGCTTAGTGACCTTCCCAAGGTCACAGAATAAGGCAAACCAGACTTTGTCCCGTAGCCCTGACTGCCCACCCACATCCATCCCAATATACCTGGACTTATGCCATGGGCCAGACTAATACTTAGCAATTGGGTACCAGTCTTATGTACCTATGTGCTGTCGTGTTTCTATACCATTTTTATAAAGTCTCAGCTCTCTTAAAATCGTAGCATTCATCAGCATACAAAAACTGTTAGGAATTTCCAATTCAGTCCAGTTAAGAGGTTATAGTAGGTCCTAGCTAGATTAACCAAGGATTATCCTTCAAATAAAGTAAGAACATCTCCTGGGCGGGGGTCTGCATTATGATGTCACAAGACTGCACTGTAGGGTAAAGACCCCTGGCCTCATCTATTCATTTAACAAACGTGGGTTGAATGTCTACCCGTGGCCCCGCCCTGCACTAGGACCTAACGAGAGACAAGACCCAGAATCTGCCTTTGAAGGAGGGGGTCAGTTCAGGAATATGGACTCTGTCGTCAGGACACAGAAGAGCCTTTGCAGGACTAAATCGGGCCAGATTGTCCCTTTAGCTGTGGTGTGGAGAAGGGGTCAGAGGTGTAGGCGGGAGCTCCGGAGACCCTGCTGGTCTCGGTGACACAGGTGCGTGACAGTGGTGGCCTACACCAGAGCAGTGGCTGTGGAGACAGATTCTCCAGCCATTCAGGCAGTGGAATTGACAGCACCTAGCTCGTGGCTCAGGAATTTTGCAGCACCTGTCCGTATACTCTGCTTCCAGGACTTGTACATGTCCGTTACTCCCACTTTACTGCAAACTCCCCAAGAAGGCCTGGTAAGCAGGCTGCTGCCTAATTCATCTTTGTATCGCCAGGGCCTGACTCCATGCTGGACACATAGGAGGCATTCTGTAACTAGGTTAGTTGCGTGCATGAATAAGCACATTGTATTCAAACTTCACCAAGCAGCAACTCTCAAAACTCTTTGAGCCTCAGGCTCCTCGGGAGGGTTGAGGTCTCTTCTGTGCCTTAGGAATGTCAGACATCTGCCTGTCTGCTTTTTTCCTGCTAAATTCTCCCCACTGATTGCTCCCTGCCTCCAGGAATACTGCAGGACACGATGCAAAGGTGGGTGGCAGAGAGAGATGCTGAGAAACAGAAATCCAGGTTCAAGCAAAAGGATGGAGGATGTGTGGTATAGTGGATAGTGGGCAGACGGTAGAGTTTACGCCTGTGGATCTCAGACAAGTTCTTAACCTCTCTGGGCCTTTGTGCTTTCATCTGTAAAATGGGGCACAGAGTCCCTATCTGGCAGGATTGCTGTGAGGTCAAAGATGTGCATATAGAGAAGAGATGCTTCCATAAGATTCGGGTCACTTCTATGGCGTAAAATGAACCACACTTGGAAGGAAACTGGTCCCTGAACTTGGGAGATTGTGATGTAAAATATTAATGTATTCTCTGAGATTTTAGTAATTTTTTTGGTGTGTGGAGGTGTTGATGGGCGGTTAAAAAAAAAAAAAACCTGCTTTCCTAAGTAGACAACACCGGATGTCCCAATTTCCACAAATAAAATCCTTCATTTCTTCCAGGTTTGAATAGTCAAAGGCTGCTTCCCTGGGGACAGCTCTATTATTTTTTTTATTTTTTTTGCAGGCATTATAACACTATTTAAGGAGTGTACATTTTCCAGTAAAGCAAATAATAAAGACTTTTTCCCCCCACAAAGTGCGAGATGATGGCAACGTGAAATGCAAGCAGAGACAGGATGCTGTGGACGGAGAGAAAACCCCCTAGATGAGGTGTCTGCGACAACACTGCAGAAATATATACTTTTTTGACATTTTGGAATCAAAAGCAAAGTTTGTTGATGATAACCCCATCAGATCAGGGTGGTTTAAAAGCCAAAGCTTAGTGCAAATAAGATCCCAGGGCCAGCCCCTCGAGCTGACAGTGCCCGCGCAGGCACGTCAATTTCAACAAATGTATCGTGCGTCACTTGTCTGCTGTGCAGCTGACATTGGCCGAGAACTCACTATTTGCTGAGGGTTGTGTCGAGTGCCATGCATTACCTTATTTAATCCTCTCAACAACCCTTTGAAGGAGGTACTATTATCATCGTGATTTTATTGATGAGGAACCTAAGGACACAAAGGAGTTCAGTAATGTCCCCAAGGTCACAGAGGTCGTAGGTTAGCAGACAAGGGACTCCAGCCCAGATATTGTGCAGAAACCAGGTCTGATCTTTCTGCTCCATGTCAGCAGCCTTTGACCTTTGGAACTGGCCCAGGATACTAAGTGGAACAGTTCATTTTGGAGATGCAGTGGGAAATAAGTTCAGCCAATTGCTGGCCTTGCGTAAATAAGACCATCGGGGCGAGTTTTCCCGAGTAGGTCAGGAATGAAAAAACTCTCTCCATTGCCCTCTGCAGGGGGGTGTCTTCTGTTTGTGTGAAATGCTGGGAGGCATTTCCACTGCTGACCCCTGGGCACCTCAAATGGCTGCACATATCTTTGTGAAGAACCCTCAGTGTGGCCGCTGCTGGAAAAGCATGTATGTTTTGTGCTGTTTGAACGGATTTTTAAAAATTTGTTATTTTATTTTAACATGCAGATTCCGAAGGAGAAAGGGCAAAAGCCTTTCTCCAAGCCAGCAACCAGTCCTGTCTCTTTTCTCTGACCTCCAAATCCATCCTTGGGAGCTAGTGGCCACGATGGCCGCCATCAACCCTGCCCATCGACTCTTCCCTCACGGTACGTGCGTCCCGCTCCTCCGGGAAGAGGCAGAGTCTAATTTCCCTTCCCTGAAACCCAGGCTGGACTTAATGACTTGCTTGACCAAAAGAATATGGTAGAAGCGATGTCCTGGGATGTCTGAGGCTGGGTCATGAGAGGCCTTGCAGCTTCTGTCCTGGCCTCTTCGAAACCTTGTTCCTGGGGGAGCCAGCTGCCGTTTCCTCTGAAGCTGCCATGCTGTGAGGAAGCTAAGCTCGTCACATGGGGGAGGAGAGAGAGAGAGAAAGAGGCCTCCCCAGTCCGCAGTGCTCAGGCCGCGCCAGCCCAGGCACCAGGCACCAGAGAGAAAAAGCTGTCTTAGACGAGAGCTCAGCTGCAGCCCGCTTGAGCTCTTGATGGCTCCAGCCCCAGTTGCCGTCTGACTATAAGTGCAAGACAGACCCCAAGTGAGAACCTCCCGGCGGAGCCCAGTTAACCCCATAATCGTGGGAGGAAAGGCATGGATGTTTTAAGCCACTAAGCGGTGTTCCGCAGCACTAGATGACCAGAACGCCATGCCCTCGTCTCCATCGCCACTGGCATCCTGGTCCAGGCCACCACTCTCTCTCCCTTAGACTCCCTCCACACCCAACTGCCCGTTTCCTTGGTCCCCTGACAGTCTCCAGCCTCATACCCCAACCTGTTCCCCACACAGCCCCCAGAGGGATCGAAATGTCATCGGAGCGTGCTACTCCCTGGCCTCCCGTGCCACTTCGCATGAAAACCAGCCTCCTTTCCACGTCTCCGGTGCTCTACAGGCGGTTTCACCCCTCCGCTGATGCACACCTGTTCCCTTCTGTTCCTCAAAGGAGTTGTTTTATATGCAAACCCCATGACCCAGCAACTCCATCGCTAGTCTATACTAAACAGAAATGTACACATATATCCCTCAGAAGATGGGTTCAAGAGTACTCATAGCAGTGTTATTATTTTCTTTGGTGAGGAAGATTGGCCCTGACCTAACATCTGTGCCCATCTTCCTCTATTTTGTATGTGAGACACTCCACAGCATGGCTTGGTGAGCAGTGTGCAGGTCCAGGCCCGGGATCTGAACCCCTGAACCCCGGGCCACTGAAGTGGTGCATATGAAGTTAACCACTGCAGCCGGCCCCGGCAGTGTTATTCTTAATAGCCAAAACAACCCAAATGTCCATGAGGAGGAGAATGGATAAATAGTGGAATTTGTCAACAAGAATGAAAGAACAACATGGATGAGTCTTAAAACCATAGTGTGGAGCAAAGAAGCCAGATACAGAAGAGTGCATACTATGGGGTTCTGAGGCACAAAGTTCAGAAGCAATCTATGATATTCAAAGCTAAGAAGTTCAAAAACACTTCTGTCTAGGGAGGCAGAAGTCAGGATGGTGGTCAGCCTGGGAGGCAGGTGGTGGATGGGAGGGGCGCAGGGGGTCCCCTGGGGTGCCAGTTATGTTTTGTTTCTTATGTGGGTCTGGTTACACAGTGTGTATTCACTCTCTGATAGTTCACCAATTTGTACATTTTTCTTGGTGTCTGTTCAATAAAGTATTAGAAAATAAAAGAGCTGCTCTGCGTCCTGCCACATGGCTTTTGCACACACCCTTTGCTCCGTCCAGAATTCTCCACCCTCTCTTAGTCTTTCCCTCGTGAATTCCTACGGGTTGTTCAGACCCAGCTCAGGCCTTCCTTCATTAGGGAACCCTTTCCCTGTTGTATCAGTCAGTCTTGGCTGTGTAACAAAATGTGGTGACTTACGGCAACAATCACTGATCAGCTCATGACGCTACATTTGCCAGTCTGGGTGGGTCTTGCCCAGGTCTCCCCTGGCTCGTGGATGTATGTGCCGTCAGCTGGCACCTTGGCTGGGCTGGATGTTCTCGGATGGCCTCACGTGTGTGGCTGTTGGCACACTGCTGGTGGGGGCACCTCAGTCCTCCTCCGTGTGGCCTCTCCAGAGGGCTTGTCACATCGTGGTCTCAGGATCCCAAGAGGCCACAAAGGAGGGCAAGTCTCAATGCACAAGCTCTTCTTAAGCCTCTGCTTGTGTCACATTTGCTAATGTCCCTTGGCCAAAGCCAGTGGCACGGCCAAGCTCAGATTTGAGAGGTGGTGAAATGAACTCCCCCTCTGGATGGGAGGCATTATTATGGCCGTGTCTTCCCAACCATCTGCCACTCCTGCCCTGCCCCACCCCATCCACACAGAGATCGGCTTCCCTGATAGACGCTCTCTCCGCCGCATGGACTTGCCCTCCTGGCGGCCACCCCACTGCAACGGACTGTTTGTAGAGTGAGTTGTTTGTTATCTCTCTCTCCCACATCCTTGTAACTATGTACGGGCAGGAGCTGGTGTGTGTTCATTGTGCCCAGCACAGTGACCGGAGAATAATGGGTAGTAATATTTGGAGAAGGATGTAGAAAGAAGAGAAAGAAAAAAAGAAGAGAGGGAGGGAAGGAGGGAGAAGGAAGGGAAGAAAGGAGGGAGAGAAGAAGCCCTGGAAAAACAGAGGGATTTCTTTGGCAGAGGACCCACTGGACCATCTCCAGGAGGCTGGGTGCCCCGCACATCCATCAAGCTCACTCTTCTCATTTTAGCCTCTGCATCTTGGCTCACCCTGTTCCTCCCAGCCAGCTGCCCTCCCACCTTCTTTCTTCTGCCTGTTCAGCCCTTGGTTTCTTCAACGGGCAGCTCAAGGCTCCCTCTCCCCACCCCAAACAACCTTCACCGCCATCCCTTGCTCCTGAGTAGCTCCGTGGCTCAAGTGGTCCCTGGGATTCACTGCCCATGTTGTCACAAACACGTGTCCCCTCACAACCTCAGTTGAACGTCCCACCAGCCCCACGAGAAGTCGAGGACGGGTGTGTCGATAGTTCCGTTAAATGGCTGAGAATATGGGGCTCAGGGAAGCCCCGTGTCTGTGGTCACCTGCAGAGAAGAGGTGGTGCTGGGACTCAGGATGGCTCAGTCTGGCTCAGGAGTCTCCACACTGCGATGCCCGCAGTGGGACCACTCGCCCCTGAAGGAAGAGGCTCCCTCCTGTCTGTCTTGGTGGCAGTGGGCTCTTTGGGGGCGGGGGGAGCTGAAAGAGGCCTTGGAGCTTTGGGGGGATGGGGCACTAGTCGTTTGCCCTCTTGGGAGCCATGAGCCTGATTCTCAAGATGGGGAGGGACTTCCAAGGTCACACAGCAAATTAGGGTAGCAGGGACTACCGACTGAGGCCAGTGGCCTCTCTGTCAGGCTCTGCCCTTCTTCAGTGCCTCCCCAGCCCCCTCCTTCCCACCTCACACCCAGCTTGCAGCTGGGGCTTGTGAGCAGCCCAGGGGAATGAGACTAATTGTTGGGAGGGCCCCTTCCTGAGGCCCAGGAGGGAGGGAGCTGCAGAGGGAGCAGGCCCACAAGGCAGGGGATAGATCCCATAAGAAGCCTTTGTTACACATCTACACCTCTTTAGAACTGCACTCAGTGTAAATGGCTGGATGAGTGGGGCCTGGTTTCCTTTAACCTACACCCTCAGGGCAGCTGTTTGAAGAAACATAATCAGGAATTGTGGTCCACAGAACAGTGAGCCTCAAATAGGGTTTGCTAAATGGACACCAGAGGGCTTGGCTAATTAGCATAGGAGGTGTTGCAAATACTCTCTCATTGGTGAAATGAGCCGTGTGCAAGAAATGTGGCTGGTGACTGAGAGCGCCCACGTCCTTCCTCTCTGCATGAACCAAGTTCAAGAACCCCGTGCACCCAATGGCCTCACACCTCCAACTGGGCAGGTGTCACAGCTGAATGAGGCTCCGAGATGCCTGGAAACCGCAGGTCCTGCCTCTCCACAGGGTCCTGCCTTCACTCGGGGTCCTGCCTTCACTCGGGTTCCTGCCTTCAGAAGAGGCTGCGGTTGACTCACAGTGATGCTGCCTGCAGGGTGCTTGTCAGACGCCCCGAAGGACATCTGACATCCTCGCTGTGTGCCTGCTAAATGCCAGCCACAGTTCTCGCCGCTTTGTATGCATTACCTTGTTGAAAACTCGCCAAGCTGAGTGGATAAACAAACTGTGATCCATCCAGACAATGGAATATTGCTCAGTGCTAAAAAAGAAGTGAGCTTTCAAGCCAAGAAAAGACATGGGGGAAACTTAAATGCATTTTGCTAAGTGAAAGAAGCCAATCTAAGAAGGCTACATACTGTCGGATTCCCACTATGTGACGTTCTAGAAAAGGCGAACTATGGAGACAGTAAAAAGATCAGTGGTTGACGGGATGGGGGAGGGAGGGATGAACAGGTGGAGCACGGAGGATTTTTAGGGCAGAGAAACTGCCCTGTAAAGTGTAATGGTGGATACACATCATTATACATTTGTGCAAAGCCACTGAATGCACAACAGTAAGAGCAAACCCTAATGTAAACTATGGACTTTGGGTGATGACGACCCGTCAATGTGGGTTCATTGATTAAACAAATGGACCACCCTGGGGAGGCTGTTGATGGTGGGGGAGGCTGTGCGTGTGTGGGGGGAGGGAGTTCATGGGAACTCTCTGTACTTTCCACTCAATTTTGCTGTGAACCTAAAACTGCTCTAAAAAAAGTAAAGTCTATTTTAAAAAAACCAACTCATGGTGACCCTATGCCCCCTTGTCACAAAGAAGAGGACAAGGCACAGAGTGGGTAAGTCCCTTCCCCCGGGCCTCATCGGGAGGACGAGGGGGAGCTGGGATCTGAGCCCAGGCTGTGCTGTCTGACTGCAGAACCCCGGCTGCCCACCACGGCTCCCTACAGCCTCTCTCCTGCAGCTGGGGAACGCGAGGCCTCCGGAAAAGCGAGCGAAGGTGGCTGGGACGGGGAGGGACCTACACATGTCCCTCCCCTGCTTCGTACCCTCCACAGCTCTGGCACTAAGGACCGGCTCCTGCTCTTACCAGGCCCTCCAGCCTTCTCTCCCAGCTCTCATGCTTGCCCCCGGCTACACCCAGCTCCTGTCACTCCTCAACCACGCCAGGCAGTTTCACATCCAGCATCCTTGCTCACCAGACTTGCCCACTGCCCTTCCCTCCCTGTTAGCCACTACCCAGTAGGTAAACACCTACTTATCTTTCAAGACTCCACTCAGGCCTCATCATCTCTACAAAAAGCGTGATTCCGGACAGCCTACGCTTTTCGGGACAGACCGGCCTGGGGTCTGCTCTCACTTTACCTCACTTTGCTGTGTGACCTTAGACAAATGAGTCAACTTCTCGGAACCTCAGTTTTTCTCATCTACAAAGTAGGACAAGGATGCTTCCCTCACGGTAGTTGTATGGGTTAGAAAAAACACCCCAGCCACCTGACATAGCTTCTGCCACATAACAGGTGGTCAAAAATGGTACTGATTTTTAGGAAGTTTTTCCTGCCCTGTTTTCCCAGTAGAATTGAACTCTCTGTGCGTGTGCCTCTGTACCTGTAACCTCCATGGGCATTAACCTGCAGTAGGAAGCCCATCACTGTCTCCCTCCCCTTGGTCTGTCATTAGCACTTCTCACGAGCTGGCACTTCTGGTTTGCTTCTGTTTGTTTTCTCCCTCCTCTGCGTGCCCGGTGCCGCGTCCCCAAACGTACAGCTCCCTGGGGGCAGGAATCCTGTCTGTCCTGCGCGTCCCTGGATTCCAAGGGTTAGAATGCTGCCTGGCCTTGGTAGGCCCTCCATTAAAGCTGGCTGGAGAAATGAGTGAATGAATGAACAACTGAATCCACGCACATCTCCTGCATTCGTCTTAGTTCTCCTCTGTCCCCAGCTCTGGGCACGGTGACCAGCAGGCGTGTTCGGCTCTGACTATGGAATGAGTCTTATCCATACTTTGTTTTTGCACTTATGAAATAGAACAATGCAACCAACACATCAGATCAACGTGAATGAAGCTATCCGCGAACTTAAACAAGCCTGATGGGCACTGTCAGGTCATTCTCTTTCTCCATTCCTTGCTTGCTATAAACCCATCCGTGTCTTCCCCAGGCTGCAGCGAATCTTTGGTGGAGATTGGCAGAGACCCTGCAGCCCAGGAGGACAGGGCCTCCATTCAAATGTCCAATTTCTCTTTGCTTTTATAAGGTGCAATTTGCATGCACCCGGATTTGTTTGGTTGCTGACAATGCACACAGTCCTGAGCTAGCACACGAGGGAACATCGCACGGGGGGGGACTTGTGGTTGGGGAGGATTATGTATTTCCCAGAGTTTCTAGGTGAAGCTTCAGTCCCACTCCTGACCCCACTCCTGACGCACAGCCTTGTACAAACGAGTGGACTCTTCTCGCCACTGGACATCTCGGCCAGGAGGACCCCAGGTCCTGTGAAGTGATAGAGGCTGGCTGCTCAGTAGGAAAGACTGGCTCGCTCCCTCACACCAGTGCCTAATTTGGGACAGAAAGGAATGCAGATACTCTGAGAAAGGGTGACCTTTTCCAGCTGGGGCATGTGGCCAAACTTGGGTAACACCTTTCCATTAAAATTGATGTTGCTCTTAATCAGCCGTGATGGGGCGATTGTTTCTTAAATGCTGCTAAATACAGTGATGGGTCCCAGGTGAGAAGGCAGAGTTCTCACTAATTCTCCACTGAGATGTTCCGAAGTTGAAAAGGGCTCCTGGCAGCCCCTACCTGGGACGAGGACCTGCTTCCTGAGGTACGTTGACATGCATCTGGAAACAAAGAATTGCCTGCAGGTT